GGTGACTTGTGGCAAAAGAAGTCGTACTTATCTTGGGATCCACTAGTGGTGAAGGCGATGCCGTGCTCGAATGCTGGATATCTCCTGGTTGGGGTAGGCGAAGTAATCCGGCTGAAAGGACCAATGTTTGAGCGAAGGGCGCCTCAGGGGGGTCCCACAGATGAATTCCAAAATAAAGACGTGGTGCAGGTCCAATTTCTTCACAGTAGGGTTTATTCAGTATATAGTTACAAGAGATAGCGTGCAAAGCCGGCTATTTGCTTGTGGGTGTAGAAGTGAATTAATTTCAGTTGCGCTCAAGCTGCCGAGGGCTGTCGGCAGCGAGAGCGTGGGCGGGAGCGTGCCTTAGGTGAGATTACGCGCGAGAGCTCGTCGCCGGGGTGAAAAATGCTTTTAAGTATGAGGGCGAGAGCGAGGGCGACCGCTTGTGTAGCTGGAGCGCTAATAGCGAGCCACAAATGGCAGACCGGAAGCCACTCAACAGAATAGAAGGAAGGATGTCAGCGCCTAAAAGCACATCAATCAGCGAGCTTCGGTGGAAGGAGGGGTCTGCCAACTGGAGGTTTGGAAGCTTGTCCAAGAAGTTATGCGGTATCGGATATTGGGGAAGGTTACCTGCTAATTGAGGCAGAACATATGCCATGGTCTCGATCTTGAGGCCAGGCCTGGAGGCGGCCCCGATCAGGAAGTGGTCCCCAGGTGGCAAATATTAATGAGTGCCGTGCCCAGAAGAACGGTACTTGTGCTGGAGGCGAAATAGCTCTGTACGTTGGGCTGAGATTCAGACGAGCGGGGGGTTTAGGCGGATGTCGAAGCCGCCATGCTGGACGAAGGAGCGGCACGATGCAGAAGCGTGTGATGCCTGGCTCCGCAAGTGGAACAATTGTGGCTGCTTGAGCAGTCGCGAAGCTGATGGCCTCTTGCGAAGCAATTTAGGCACAGCTGTTTTGTCTTAATGCAACTAGAACGTGCATCAGCGGACATGCTGAGAAAGCGCGGACATAGTCGGATCGGGTGATTCTCCTTGGAACAGAGATCACACGTCCTCCTCTTCGGACTCACTTGGTTCTTGAAAGAGAGAACCTTGTTTGGCACCGGACTGCCTTGCGAACGGAATGGATTGGTTTCGAGAGGTGGGTGGATTTTGTCCGCCTTTGGAGAGTGGCGGATTCGTAGCCCCTCGTGAGGTGGAATAGTCGTTCTTAATAGCCTCGAGCGTCAGATAGCGCTGAGTGAGGAAGGAGTCGATTTCCTTCCAGGGCAGCACCTCCTTTTTGTCCGTTACGGACGCTTCCCACAACGCCCGGCTCAACTTCGGCAATTTGGAAGCGCAGACTATCCCAGTTGTCCGTGCAGACGTTGGAGACTCCACATTTAGGACTCCTTGCATCGTACTTTAAAGATCCTTCAAGGCACGACTGCACTCGGAAGTTACGAGAGGCAAAAAGAGGAGGATGTTAATTTGGTTGGTCACCAGAAGCCGATTATTTTCATATCGGCTGCGGAGAGCCAACCATGCGGACTCGAAACCGTCATTGGTGAGGGGGGATTTTTCTACGATGGCCTTTGGATCGCCCCTGGTCTTCTCGGTGAGGTAGTACCATTTCTCTACCGGAGATAATTTTGGATTATTAATCACTACCGCAGTGAACAGATCCCGGAATGTGGGCCAGAGGACGTAGTCCCCTGAGAAAACCTCAGTGTTGACGGGAGGCAGTCGACAGCCACCCTGTTGGACTGGCTATGCAGGAGGAAGGACTGTGGACGTGGCCAGTTGAGCATTGAGGTCACTGAGGCACTGCTCAAATACCCCATAGCATTCGCCGTATGTGTCACGGATGTCCGCTTGGATTTCTGGATCCTCGTCAGTCATCACCGCGGAGCAGGCCTTGACGTCCATCCACATGCTGAGGATTTGGCCGCGGCGGACCTCGGACAGAGAGGCGGATGGGGCGGCGGTGATGCGCTCTGCCAGGTGCGACAGTCAGTCAATAGCGGCGATCAATTTGGTCCGAGCGACTGAGGTGACGGATTGAGCTATTGTGATGCAGTGGCGAGAGCTGACGGGGCTACTGACGAAGGAGCCTTTCGGATCTTGTTTGGTCACAGCTGGAACCTTTAGAGTGACAGGAGACGGAAATAGAACCGATTTGGTCCTTGCCGCAGGGCTGCTACTGGGTGCTCTCGGAGTGAGGGGCGCCTTGATTTTCTGTGTCGGCGTTGTTCCAGAGGCCGACGAGGTGCGTAACCGGTTGGAAGAGGTCACAGGCAAAAGCTGGTTGCCGTCCTTGTGACCTGTTGGCATAATTTGAAATTACCCACACAAGAAAAAACGTTTTCGGAAGTCTGTGAGGGACAGAAGACTGGTCTGAGTAGAATTTACCCAAAAAAAACCGTCAGGAAACAAAGATTTTTTCGGAAATATAACCCAGTTACGGACGGCTGGCAGAAAAAAATAATCAGATCGACTCGGATCTCTCACCTGTAGGTGAGAGGTCCCAAACAATTAGTGACCTTATATTGAGCCGAGCTGAGAGGAACGGTCACACTGGTGGTGGCCATATTTTGGAAATATTGTTAGTGCGGTGCTCCTCCGTTTACCCCTTTCACGCAATCGTGAGCAGAACCGGGTGGCGGATGGATGGCGGTCGGAAATGACACGGACACCACACACAAAATAAACAATGATTTTTTATCAAAATAAATTCTTTGATTGCGAAAAAAAAACGTTGAAGTTGATTAATTAATTTATTAATCAATTAAACCAATTAAATGAATTAATTAACTTATTAGTTTATTTATTTATCCAATTGATCAATTAATCAATTTGATTTATTTAATTGTCCTCATTGGATGGACGCAAGGTAATGATGCCGATAGTTCTTGGATTGGGCCACCTCTAATGCACGAAAAAAAAACAACAACAAAAGACCGAAACAACAATTTGCCAATTAGCGGTGTAAATTGCCAAATAATTACTATGAGTGCGCCGTGCCTTGGTCGCGAGTAATTTATTTGGAAACTGGAGGATGTTGGAGTTGGGGTAGCGATCGAGAAAAGTGGCTGGAGTGCATGAATTGCACGAAATCGCGAATATTATATTAAATATAGGTATTTAAATACGGAATGTGGTATTTTTATGCGGGGTGTAATATTTGCATGTACATATGTATATAGTCGGCAATATGGATATATTGCGACCAACTATGGAAATAAATGTAGGTATGTGTATATGTATGGAAATAAAACACTTTAATTTTAAGTGTGGTTGCACCTGGAGTGTGCCAATGTATATTTCTATTGGGGTGGGTCGTGCATGGAATGCACTTGGAGACACATGGATGTAGGTGTGTGTGTATGTACGCAAGCCGCTCTCATGGGCTGGAATGTGCGTACATACATATGCTCGGAATGCACTTTTAATAAATTTTTATTTATTGAATTTGTCCGTATCACGACCGTATCACTGGTAGTTGGAGATGAACGAACGGAGAACGGCAGGAATCGCCGATAATACGGCGGTGTCGAATTAAGAAGTGACTCGGAAAACGAAATTGCACAGTAGAATGAAAAAAGTACATATATAAGAATATATATATGTACTCGGACAGAGGAATTTAGAAACACAAACCGCGAATGGAGGCGATTTGTGGCAAAAGAAGTCGTACTTATCTTGGGATCCACTAGTGGTGAAGGCGATGCCGTGCTCGAATGCTGGATATCTCCTGGTTGGGGTAGGCGAAGTAATCCGGCTGGAAGGACCAATGTTTGAGCGAAGGGCGCCTCAGGGGGGTCCCACAGATGAATTCCAAAATAAAGACGTGGTGCAAGTCCAATTTCTTCACAGTAGGGTTTATTCAGTATATAGTTACAAGAGATCGCGTGCAAAGCCGGCCATTTGCTTGTGGGTGTAGAAGTGAATTAATTTCAGTTGCGCTCAAGCTGCCGAGGGCTGTCGGCAGCGAGAGCGTGGGCGGGAGCGTGCCCGAGTTGAGATTACGCGCGAGAGCGCGTCGCCGGGGGGAAAAATGCTCTTAAGTATGAGGGCGAGAGCGAGGGCGACCGCTTGTGTAGCTGGAACGCTAACAGCGATGTGTGGCTGGAATGCCCACAGAGCGGTTGTCCCGCCAGCGCCGTCATCACTCTGAACATTAAGCTTTCAATTGCAAAAATTGTTGTTTTTTTCGAAATTGTAACTGGACCATGGACTGGATGGACCATGGGGTTTAAAGTTGCCTGTTATAATACGCAATGTGTTCGTAAATGAGACGTTTTTTGCAGACACCCCGAAAGTGTTGACCGTTTTTTCCGAGCTATGTATTTTGTTTCGATTTTTGAATTTTGGAAGTAGGAAAATTGGAATTTATGGGGTAACGACATAAGTCCGCGCGACATATCTCCGCCCATACATTTTCCGCGCGGAGATATGACGCCAAACTCCGCGCGGAGATATGTCGTTTTTGAAACGACATATGTCCGCCCAGAATTTAGCGGAGATATGTCGTTTTTGAGACCTCGCGGAGATATGTCGTTTCAAAAACGACACATGTCCGCGCGGAGATATGACGCCAATTTATATCAAGTAAACAAACCTTTTTTGTGACATATAAGGTGGTGTACATTTACTAAAAAAAAAAACCGTAATGTTGGCATTCTTTGAAAAATTTTATTTATTAGTAGCTTATTTTGTTAAGAATAGATGCTGCTAAAAAGTTAAGTCTGAAAATAGAACCATACCCTACGAAAAAATTTTGTTTGCAGAAACTGCCTGAATCAAATATTTGTGTGTCACACGACAGGAGGGACAATTGCTTAGCTTGGTTTCTGTCGTTCAGCCCACGACACGTAATGGGCCGAAATTGACGTTAACAAGCAGAAACCACCGATCCAATGACCGTGGTAGCTCTCGCAGCAATCTCAACAGCTACCATTTCCTTGTATGAACTGGCACATCTTTGTATGTACTGTATGGCTAGTGGTCAAACGTATATTTTATCGATATTTTGAATCTTTTATGAGTCAAGTCGGTAAGAAACGCTTATACGTAACAAGTAGCCGATTCTAAATTATCCTGAATTCAACACTCAAAGTTAAATGGCATTAATTCCTCCGGTCACACGCCTTACATCCTCCATAATACGTATACTGGGATGTAATCCCAGTCTTATGACGTTGCAAGGCACCAATACCTATCTGCTTGGAAACGGGAAAAAGTGAGTATGTCCAATGTCCAATCCAAAGTTCAAAAATATAAAAACCAGCCAATAAATCATTATATATTAGACGGATACTGATTGATACTGGGGATGAAGATGTTCCTCAGTACATAGAACACTTAAACGATGTACTTTGCCGGGAGCAGGCCTCCATTGCCACTATCATCCTGACTCACTGGCACCATGACCATGTCGGTGGTATTAAGGACATTGTGGGCAGCAGACTGGCAGACAATGGTATGTAGTGCCTGAGGCCAATAATTGTATATTGCAGATTCTTATTAGTGATCTTCTATTCAGACTGTCAAGTATTTAAGTTTAGTCGGACCGATGCAAGTGATGTATGCCCAGAGATCCCAGCTCACATAAAATTGCAACCGATTTCAAACAACCAAGAGTTTTCAGTAGAAGGAGCCAATATGCGTGTTGTACACACTCCAGGACACACCACGGATCATATTGTATTAGCAATGGACGACGGGACGCTTTTCAGTGGGGACTGTATATTAGGTTTGTTTTCGCCTTGGATTGTGTTCTTTTTCAATTTTATAATGCTGTCTTTCTGTAAGGCGAGGGTACTGCCGTCTTTGAGGATCTGTACGAATACATGAAAAGCTTGGATACAATTTTGAAAATCCAACCACAGCGTATCTTTCCGGGGCATGGCAATATTATTGATGAGCCTGTTCCCAAGATTGAGTACTACATAAATCATCGCACCAATCGTGAACAGCAGATACTCCAGTTCTTTAGCCAACGCCCCCATAAGCGTTGGCAATCAATGGATGTTGTGCGGGTGGTTTACAGACATACCCCTCAGAAGCTGTGGCCCGCTGCGGCCTACAACGTAAGCCACCATCTTAAGAAGTTGCAAAAGGAGGGAAAACTGCTGCTCAACGAGTTAGATGAAGAAGCATTTTATGTTTACAATCCAATAAGTTTGCTCTAGATCTAAGATACATATTCAGTTTTTTTTTTGTTTTCTTTCAGAATTGCAATGTTTATTAAACTCTGATGTAAGATGTAAGTTACATGAAAAAACCAAAACCATTGCCTTGAAAAAAAAACCACAAAATTTTAATATATGAGAAACATAAGTTTTGGATCGTTGAGTAAAAAAGTTTTATTTCGTTGCGTGTGTTTGTATTAAATCTGGGATTATTTAATAAATACGTCTGTGAGAACCATATACAAAAAATATACCAAAGAAAATGTTTTGTCAGCATTTTTACTTTTAAGTATTGTTTTTAAATCTGTTTCCATCCGCTTTTTTTACAACAGAAATGTAGAGTACTGTAATTTTCATTTAGGGACTTAGAAAAGTTATCAGGGTGCAAGTCATTTAACCAACTAAATCAAAACGTTTTCAGTGTGTATTAGTGCGTAGTAAAAGTGTAGTTTTATTTCTGGTTACATGTAATTGTTCAACTTTAATATTTCACTGTTTTCCTTTTCCAATTTTACCACTTTTTTGGCGTTGCTTTTTAGCGACTGAAGAGCGTTTATCCTTCTTCTCTCGAGGATCTACGACGCGATAACGACCTTTCACGCCAGCTGGGCGAGAGGCCCGACGAGACGCAGTGTGCTTTTTAGCGACTACATATGTAATCTCTTTTTTCTTTTCTTGCGCTTTCTTATATACCTTTCTAAGTTGCTTTGCCTTCTCATGGGTTGAGGCATCAGCGTTGTCCATTATCTTTTCGGCCATTTTTTTTGCTTTGGCCAGACGTTTTGTGGAACGGCGCTTCTTTCTTGCTTTTGCCTCCATTACTTTTTTTATAGGGCGCACATTTAGCTCCTGGACCTTGCGTTTGTATTCTTCGGTAAGCTCTTGAGGCACTGGTTGCGGCGTAGTCATGTGTTCTTTTTCATCTTGTGTGAACCAGGCTGGCAGATTTTCATCATTAAAAGCATAACGGTTCCAGGCTGCATCAATAAGTTCGCGTTGCGTTTTCTTTCCGCGAATTAAAAACGCACCAAGAGCTAGCTCATTTTCGGTCAGACGTACCTTCTTCGATTTTGGCTCTGAAATTATAAAAGTGGAAAATAAAACGTGCAATTCATATGTACATATATATAACAAAAACTATTTGACTTCTGTGTTTTAGTATTCTTGAGCTCAGATAGACTAGATTTGTTTGCTTAATTGATATAAGATTAGTTAATATTTTCTGTAACTAGCTAAAAAGTACTTGTAGAAAAATTTTTAATTAAAATTTGGCTTGTATATATAATTATTACCAACCTTTGGACATATCCTCAGAAACAGTATCTTTGGAAAATTCTTCAGAGTCAGAGCACTCTGAGCTGCTATCCATCGTCATAGTTTCATGTCGGGCGCGGCGCTTAGCCTTCTTGCCCAAGGGCACCTGTCCATATGTGTCCATGCTGAGGGTGCTCTTATTCAGAACAGAGACACCCTTTAAATTATACTCCTTGGCCATATTGCTCAGATCATAGTTTTCCTCATCGTCGTCCGATTGTATGTTTTGGAGATTGTTCTTCTCGTACCAAAGCTGTACACGTTGTTGCCGCTTGGTGTCCTTGTCGCGAAAATCACTTGACTTTATGAGCGGATGCTCCTTGTATTTTTTCTTGCCTTTACCCCCTTTAAAAATATCTTCGCCATCGTCGCTTAGGCCTAAACCTCGCTCATCACTCATCATCTCATCGCTGTCTTCATCGTTACTTAATTCTGTCTCTTTTTCATTTTCATAGTGGCCATCGTCATCCATTTGATTGTCGTCCTTGTGATACTTTTTGTACTTGGGCAACTTAGGAGGCTCTTTACCCTCTACTTCTATGTCGAAGTCGGGGTTAACATCGAGAATTCTGTCCAGATCAACAACAGAGTTAATAACTTTAAGATCGAAAATTTCATGCACAGTTTCCTCCACAGGCCCGTCATCTCCCTTTATAATCATATTAAGGTTCATCTTTTCGTGAAGCTTTGCCTTGGCTTTAAGCGTCTTCTTTCGCTTCCGCTTAAGCTCTTTTTGCTCCTCGACTGTCAACGTACTAATCTGTTGTTGTAGTTCAACATCTTCTATGTCCTCTATTTCTGCTTGCGTAAGTGTTTTTGGTATTGTTTCCTCCGCGTCTGGCTTCTCGATGACCACCGTCGTTTCAGTCTTAAAAAAACTATCTTTGACAGCTTTCCACCACAATACAATACCCTTAATGTCCTTGCGACCTAAAACCTTAAGATCCTTGCAGCATTCTAGAATCTCGGGTGTAGTTTTAATGTGATTGGCAATACGCTCGTCATCAATGCGAATGGATCCCACACCTTGGAGTGCAGCTAGGCCGTTTTCTGCTGTCATAAACTCTGTGGCCGCTAAATTTGTTCTTAATGATATTTCCTGTTCACTGTAGCCCTCGGCCTTAATGCGTTTTTGCCTTTCCGGGTGCAGCAGGCTATTTTTCTTCTTGCTTTCGAGGTCGAGCTCCTCGAACACGTATTTGCAGTCGAGCAGGCGATGGTCGATAATGTCGGGTGCTAGGTATTCCTGGCAAATCACGAATATTTCGGCCGACTCCTTGCGGGAAGCACTTGGTTTGGTGGCATGTACCTTCTTGAAGAGCTGTTTGAGCACCCAGAGTAGTGCGTTGTAGTCCTTTGAGCGGAAAACTTTAGTCACAAACCAGCCACCGCCGCGCAGAAACTGAGTGGTCAACTTGAGGGCATTAAGAGTTAAGCAGATCTGCTGGTAAGCATCATAAAGCCAATTACGACCCACGTTGGGGGCACCGTCGTGAAGGACAACATCCGCCTTCCACGACTGCAACTCCTTAGTTAATGATTGACGACACTTTTCCGTTGTAATGTCCTCTACTAAACCAATGCAGCCTGCAATGGGTCGTATTGGGAAGAGGTCAACACCAATTACAATGCTGGATACTGGCATATTTTGTTTGGCCACTTGCATCCATCCACCAGGAGCTGCACATAGATCTAAGCAAACTTGCGACTGTTGAAGAAATCCGAATTTGCGATTTAACTGTATCAACTTAAAGGCGGCACGGGATCTAAAACCAGTCTCCTTAGCAAGTTGGTAAAATTTATCCTTCCTTGTCTTTCCTACTTTGGTCTTCTTGCCCATTTTCTTATTTGTTGATTGCTGTAAAATTACAAAAACCAAGCTTCCACGTGCTATTAAAATCTTCTTCTTTGATGTTTTCTTCAGAATAGAGATACAGTGTAGGTGTATCGATATTTTGATTGAGTGTCAAGAAAGCGTCGCAGCGACAGCGACGATAAAGCAGTATGGAAATAGTACTAATGGTGTTATGACTTAGGAACAGAGACCGGCAGAGTCGTATGTACTGTGCATAGGAAAAAATCTCGATCAGTGCAGTCGGCACACGTATACCGTAAAAGCTTCGTGTGGCTTTTTGGTATTATTAGATCACCAAAATACAGAACATAATGGACGGAACATACAGAACATTATGGAATGGTATCGATATCAGAATAGCCGCAATGAAGCAGAAAAGGCATTCACACTGGCAGACATGCGTCTTCAGAGCAGCTGATTTGAGCACTTGTGGACAATGAAAGCCTAAACAAAAAAAATATATGAATTAACTTATATTTAGGCACGCTCCGGCTTGCACATTCACTTTGCGTTTTACTTTTCAGCAAAAAGTCATACTTTTCATTTCAAAGCGCTCTGGAATCCACTTTTGTGAATTTGTTTACTCTTTGTACTGTTAAGCGCCAAATTTACTGCTGTTTCATACAAAAAGGCCTCTAATATGTTTAACAGAGACTTATCGATACCCAAATAGGGCTGCCACAGCTGTTAAGATGAATTCACTTCTTTGTTTTTGTGTTTAAAAAAAAATTATTTATAAAACGGCCAAAAGCTCAATTGCACTGGTAATGGTGTGAAATTCATGTCAATGCATCACTAATTTTTTTTTTTTTCCTTTTGAAATTAAGATTTGTTTAGTTGTATAAGAAGCCGTTTAATTTTCATTTCGGCGAGGAATTTGTGCGGGAGCGGCCGTTTTTTTTGTTTTGAAAAGTAAATCATATTTACTAAAAAACATGAAAATATAAATTTAAAGAAAGAAAGAAATTTAATATTTATTTATTTTTTTATATTTTTATATATATTTAAATATATATATTTTTTTTAAATAGCCAGTTTTTCGCGAAATACATTACTTATTAATAAATTAATTGTTCGTGAAATTTATCACTTATAAAGTATTGACGTCTTTAAAAATTCATCATTTATAAATCTATATAATTATCGGAATTGTAACTATGCTCTTTTCATAGTTCTGAAGGATATGTTCGATTCCAGCCGCTATCATGGACGGGGCCATCTCCATAGAAACATGGGATTTCTTTCGAGGGCCCTGCAAACCCTCAATACTGTCCTGCCATATAAAAATAAAAATATTCCCCTTTCAGCAGACCTGCCGATTGTTGTTTTTTTAATGGCTGTAAAATTAGAATGCATAGAAATAAAAAAGAAAATGCATATATCCATTAATAATATTACATATAACAGTTTCTTTTTCTTCAAATTTTATTTATTCTAAAAAAACAGCTGATGGACTGTGTTGTTGTTTTTTCCATTATCCTGTCTGTCATTGTTTACATTTTCGTAGCGAATTCCGGCTTTTTCTAGCTTGGTGGCTGTGTTTTTGTATCAAATAGTGCCTCAGTTGTGCGACTGAAAGCCATTAGACGTATCTAGAGACGGCTACGAATAATAATGTTGCATTTTGTCTCTCATGCTATCCCTCATGCTGGCTAAGTTTAATGTCATATAGCTATTGGTGGTAATAGTTGCACTGATAGGCAGAAAAGTGCAAAAATGTTCTGTTAAGCGTAAAAGCAATCGAATATATCGATTAGACGCTCATGAATCAGAGACCGTCAAAACTTTTTGCCACCACTAGGGCCCTATGCTTAACCTATATAAAAAAAATGCATCTCCGGCAAGACGCAAAGAATCATGACGCAAAGAAGCAGCCCCAATGTAAGCAGCCTATTAGAGCCTGTTTACGCTACGGTTGAGATATTGAGTTATTTCGTTTAGGGCAAAACTCTGTGTGTAACGCAGAGAAGAACACGTTTCCGTAGCCGAGTCGCCTATATCTCAGAGACTATAGGAGCTAGGGCAACCAAATTTGGTTTCCACAGTCATGTGATGTTTCACTGCTACAAGTGTATTTCAAAATTTCGCCCCGCCCCCTTCCGCAAACACAAAAGACGAAAATCTGTGGCAGGCACATTTTTACAGATACGATAAAACTAAAAACGCAGTATCGTAGAGAATGCCCATAACTACCAGATTGCCGAATCTGAATTAGATCGGATCATAATTATAGCCAGAAAGAAAAAATTAATTTTTAGTTGCTACCCCTGCCCACTCCTGCCAACGACAACGCAACTCATTTTTCATCTCGCTCGCACACTCTGCCGCGTTCAGTGCGCGAGCAACCCATAGTGGAGGAGATGTAGAATCTAAAGGGTACATGTTTAATCTACATGTTAGATGTAGAATATACATAATATATGTAGATGTAGATAACAGATGTAGCAAAAAAATGTAATATGTAACATTTTTTTTTTTATTTCTAAAATTCTTAAAAATCATATGCACAAAAATGTAAATACTGACTGAGTACGGGTATAAGTAGAGTCGCGTCCTTAGAAGTGACTCACACGTTCTTTCTCGTTATTATTATTTTCTATTAATCTTCATATATATAAAATATGCCTGGGGAAGAGCGACCCCAGCCGAAGAAGTGCATTTTATTAACATTTAAAAAAAAAACCTAGCAGCTGTCTGAGCAGTGTAACCGTACGGAATTCAGTGCACATGTCTGGTCACACCACTGGCCGCTAGAAGAATATATGAAATTTGTTTGCTAGCAAACAGTTTTCGGATCTCAGTACTAGGCTTGAGGTTTCAGAGAATGATAAAATAAAAAACTTTTTGCACCACTAGAAACAAAAAAAAATACATGTTTATATAGAAAAATAAAGGAAAAATGTAAATTCGCATATATTACTTAAAAATAATACTTTTAGCCAATTTTAGCCAGTGTTAACGCCAATTCCGAGCTATTGAATTTTGATTGATTTTGGCTTATATCGATAGCTGACATATCGATTAGAATACGCACTAAATAGCAAAGAATGAAATAAACTGAGCCAAATTAATAAAATATTATGAAATTACCTCAATACTTCAGTTTTACTATGAAATGACTGTTTTTTGTGACTGTTTTTTGTTGCGAGTCCCGAAACTTCGAAGCCAATATCGTTAGGTTCTGAGCCGATTATATTGGTGACGTCGCAATAGTAAGGTATGGATCATTGCGTTCATCAGAACTCAAAACATGATGGATGACATCAATCACTGAGCACTGATCAAGTTGTCCTGATGAACGCGGTCAATGATAAAATTAGTTAGGAGTATATTTTCTAATGACTATATATATATATTGACCTTCTTCTTATCTCTTCTTTTATGTTATATTATTGTTGTTATTAGTGGTGATAGATGTGCTAATAGTAAAAATTTAGCAAAGATGTGTTGTATTGCAGAAAAATAATCATATAATTGAATACAACATGCGTTCGAAAAAACGGACGCACTGACTGACGCATCCCAGTGTAAGCAGCCCTATTAAAGTCGTAAAAACATCGATGTTTGTTTCCCAAAAATCATCGATGTTTTCGAAAATTGTCAAAGAATGTGTATATCGATAGCACCATCGACTGTTTTTTATCTCTGCTCTGCACTGAAACCAATATTTTATAGACAGCGGTTAATAGTTATATAAGTAACATGATTCAAAGTGTTATTTTCCAGCTTGGGAGGCTCCGGTAAGAAAAAAAAAATATGTCGTTTTCAGTTCATTAATTCATAAATATTTTCCTTAATTAGGCTTGGAAGCTGTATCGTTTCTAGTGCACAAGTACGCGATAAGGGATATTTGAGCCGACCCCGCTTAAGGAATCCGTACTGGAATTTGCGGAAACAACGCACCGTAAGCAAAGTCTCAATGCTTACATTTATCCATTTTAATATAAATTTTTGTATGTAAAAGAATACAGAAGACTTTGTAACTACGGAAAATCGACATTTCATCAGTGAATTAATTTACGAAAAATACGGTACTCCAGCGCTTACCAAGAGCATACAGGCTCAAGAAAATAAGTTGATCCAAACCGATGATCTGGAAGATGGCATTCGTTCTTGGTCCCCGCACACTAGACGTTGCGGTGTGATAGCGCGTAAGATTGGTCAGTATCCGCTATGGCTTAAAAATGGCAAGAAAGTGCGCACCACATTGTTACAGATTGCTGACAACCATGTTATTAAATTTATGCCACCCGAAGAGTGTCGGCTTCAAAAGAATCTATGCAGTGCACATAATTGGAACAAGTATGGCTGTCTCCTCGTGGGCGCTGAAAGTACGAGCCCAGCCATGCTGACTAAAGAATACTGCAATATATTTCGCGATGCTGGCGTCACACCAAAAAAAAATATCATGCGTTTTATGGTCTCACCACAGGGAGCACTAGCCCCTGGAACACCTTTGAATATTGCCCACTTTCGCGTTGGAGAATATGTGGATGTTCGAGGCAAAACGTGAGTATTTCGGAATGTATATAAAACTAGCGGACCCGACGAACTTCGTCTCGCCCCAATTTAATAACTTAAGCTATTACAACAAATGTATATCATACGCTATATTTATTGCGAAAACCATACATTTTCCTAGGCATTGTACCCAAGCGAGTACAGGAAATCGGCAACTTTCAAATAGTAACGATACTTTAACTCGACCAATCGTGTTGCAAAATTATTTTTGCGTTTCAATCACATACGCTGTGCTTAACAGCTGGGTATTCATAAAAAAGCGACAAAGAACTACGGTTGTTGTTATTGAGCTTTCTTCTGATACGTCTTCGGCAATTTTCTACATTTTGAATAGTTCAGTGAATGTGTGGCTCTGTAAAAAGGGTGTTTAGAAAGAAATATATCTGTTTGTTTATATGCGCATAGCTTAAAGCACTAAGCAAACAACACATACAGGCGTCAAATCGAATAAAAACTGCCTGCATACAATTTTTGGACGATTGGCTCCCAGGCCTTCGGGTCGAGAGCTGATAGCTTCGGCAGGGCATTCGGCTCTCTCCGGGTTGAGCCGAGAG